ACACACACACACACACACACACACACACACACACACACACACACACACACACACACACACACAGGGGCAGGTGTTCAAAGTAAAAAAGGCCACATGTACCAGTATTCTGGGGCAGATTTTACAGTTCAGTGTACAAAGATGTATTTGATATATTTATAATAAAACAGTATTTATTGTGGTCAGAGTTTCAGTCTGCAGCACTGACCTGAATCATGTGGCTGAAAGTGTATAAATGTTTCATATCAGTTGATAATTATTGATAATAAAGCCCAGAATAACTCTGTTAAACTGCTGATGTCTCCTCTCGAGCTGCTGCATCCTTCTCACTCCACATTGTTTGTTTTTATGTGAAGCAGCAGTTCTGAGTGAAACATGAACGCGCTGCTTGTTGCTGCTCAGTTAGCTGATGCAGCAGCCTTAGCTGGGCTTCAGCTGCTGTTAGCTGCAGGAGCTAATGTTTGTTGTTCATCTTCCATAAAATGTTTAGAGTCCAAAACCAGCAGGTTCTGAGGACACTTTGTGAGACTTATTTATTAATTCAATTCAGTTTATTTATGTAGCGTTAAGTCACAACAACTGTTGTCTCAGGGCACTGTACACAACAAACAAAACAAAAACAGTAAATAAAGCAGCAGCTGTATTAGAGTTTAGTTTATGTATGTTTCATTCAGGAGTTTTATTACTGTTTTATTTTTATTGTTCCTTCCACAGCTCAGTCTGGATTAAAGGCTCTAATAATAAAAGCTCAGCCTGGATGTTCTGGTTTGTACTGGTTTGGTGTGGAGGACATGATGGTCCGTTCAGATAAGACAATAAAACAGCCTGAGCTGCTGACACGTGTTACCTCAGGAGAGAACAGAAAGCACATCTTTAAACTTTAACTTTAACAGAGCAGCTTTAATAAATACATGTGTTCACAGAAACACACATTATTTAACCATTAACTGACAAAACAAAACGTCTCAAATTCACCTGAATCAATCTSAACACTTCTGCAGCAGGTTTTCTGTATAAAAGTAATAAATTAAATTAGTTATCTGTTGTCTCCTTCCCTGCAGCTCGTGTTGGTTTAATAATAAATCAGAGAAACACCTCCTGCACCAATAAAAGC